ACCAATCCTAAATCCAAGAGTGGCTGCTGCACTTTCTCTGACTTCACTGAAAAAAAAAAAAAAAAAAAAAAAGGCTAAATTTGTGCTTGCTTCCCAGAAGAAAATTAATTTTCAAATGAGGAGGAGGAGCACTCTAATTTCCTTCCAGAAACCCCTGCCTTCTGAATTAGGACCTGCATCCTAATTTTTCCAGCCTCATTTTTATACCCTCTTCACCAAGCTGCTGCAGTCTCTACCTGATTTTGGAGTAATCAGGGGGCACAGGATATCCATAATACCCCAAATCAGCAACTTTTGCATCCCTCAAGTACTAATTTTGCAGTGTTGCCGTTGCAGATTAAAACCAAGAGCCTCGGGAATGTCTGGAAAAACAGGCTTGGTGCTGTTGAGGTCAAAGGAAAAAAAATCTATCCCTGATTTCAACCCTGATAAAATTATTGACACTCATCTCTGTGCGGTACATACCTTAGCAGATTCTGTAGGGAACAACCATAATCCCAGAAATTAGAAACATATCAGGATCTCCTCTCCAACTCGTTAATTTTTACTAATGACCTACATGTGGGCATAACAGACACAAACAATTATTTTTAAAGCTGGTAATATATTTAGTCATTTAACCCCTTAAAAAAAAAAAAAATCCTTTCCATACTTGTAAAGTGTTATAGGACTAATCTGGATAATCTTATTACATGTCAAACATGGTCTTACCCATGGATAACACTTGCTAATGCACTGACACATCCCTGGGAACACAAAACCTCTATTTGTTGGAAAAGAAGTAAAAATGCAGTCAGAGAAATTTAAATCTTGTCACCAAACTAAAAGCAGCGAGTAAATATTAACTCTGTGAAGTGCAAGACAAGTTTTGTTGACCACCGAGGTAAATATTGACTGGAATTAAGCAAATATTTACGTGCTGACGGGAACGGGAGGGATCCCCTTCAACACCACAAACAGAGTTTTGCCTCCTCCATTTCTGGGTTTGCATTTATACCTGGGAACGTGTCTGCAAGGGCAGGGCTTTTTAAAAATCAAAACTGCCTTTTTCTCAGCAACCCAACTGGCTGTGTGTCCAGAGGGCTGGAATATTTTGGCCTTGTCCAAGGCAGAGGTTTAGCAGATGGATTTCAGGCAGAACATGTTAACTCACTTCATGAAGAGCTGCCCAGGTAACAACACCCAAGACTCCTCTTTAACTCATCTCTAAAAAAGGTCAACAGGAAGTTAGTGAAATTCCATTTTATGAGTTATGTTTGAATACTCATTTGGAGTTTAACCTAAAATATATCACACACAGAGTGGAATTGCTGGGGCTGTTCTGTGCAGGGCCAGGAGCTGGACTTGGGTGATCCTGGTGGGTCCCTGCCAACTCTATGACTTACAAAGGCAAATAAAGAATAATTCAGGCTGTAACCCTCAGCAGGTACTACAGATGGAATGTAAATTAACAAATTTATTTACTCCTTCCTAATAAATCCACTCACGTTTACACACAGGAGCATTCCTTGTTCAGTGGAAGGATTCACACATTCTGATTCCCATCAGATTGGGAAAAGCCTAATTTTGAGCAACTTCAAAGACTCTCTTGAAAACTGTGGCACCTTTAAGGGCACCCATTAAAGGATCCCAATGCCGTGATCATGACATCTTCTGACCTAAATACCTCTGCAATGGTTTTACCGAGCCAATGAACACACAAAGTCTTTAATGGCTGAAGATTTGTCGAGTGGCTGTTTTTAACAGACCCTCCAGTGCCACTTTGAGAAAACACCAGTTCAGAAAACGGCTTCTCCACTCGGTGCTGATGCCCAGGGGAACGGCTCTTTCCTGCAGATAAAGGCAGGAGCTGAGCACCCTCCTGTGCAGGGAGCAAAAACTGCAGCTGCCCTTTGTGGCTCCGCTGGCTCCTTCTCATTCCAGGCTTTATCTGGGTAAAAACAAACAAGACCCCGGGATCTCATCTCATTCACCGGCTTTGGAACAGTTCTCTGACAGCACTGCGGTGGAATTACTCTCACTTTGGAATGACTGGAGGAGGAAGGAGCACGCTGAGAGCTTGTGAGATTCCTGGAGACCTCAGGGAACAGGGTGATGTCATTGCGATGTAAAAATATCTGCTTCAAATTCCTCGCCAGTCTCCTTGACAAAGCTCCCGGGATCAGAGTTCAGCAGCGAAATTCAGCTCCTCTGCCGTCACCCCTGGGGGGGATCTTTCCAAATAAATAACGAGACTGATAAGGTCTCTATCCTGCAGTCCCTCAGAGATGTTTTCCTGTGCTCGAAATCCGAACTCAAGGAAGGGTTGGGTAGTTGCAGGAGTTAGTTTGAAAAAAAGAAAAGACTGAGCATTCGAAGCTCGGGAAAAATTCAAATTTTAAAGGTTATTTGAGCCTCTTGGCAAGACTTTCAAACCCTTCAAACAATTTAAACTCTCGTAGTTTTGCAAAAGTCTTCCATACTCAAGCAACATTTTTGGGTAAAATGAAGACAACCAATAAAGCCTTTGAATATTCAGGACATTCTGTAATTCTACAGACTTCTACAAAAAACCCACAATTTTTGTCATATCATTAACTAAAATTGCTCTCCATGTATCTGAGATCAGCTTCTTTAAATCTCACCACAGATGTATCCTGTACATCTCATTTTAAAGCACCAGCTCCTTCCACACCTCCTGCTGAAAAGAAACAACAAAATAAATAAAAATAAAAAAGGGGATACAAAAGATGCAGATTGTAATCCCTCAACCTGCTCTGCAGGAAGATTTCTGCAAGAGCTCCTCCAGGAATTGGTATTAGGATGTAAAATACTTTCATCTAATATTTCTGTGTATAGAACAAGCTCCCAGCAACTTTTAGTCCGGAGTAATGGTTGCAGAGGCAAGCAAGAATTCCACAAGGATCAGTGTCCTCATGCCCTGAACAACCATAGGGAAAGCAGGAACACACCGAGCAAACCTGCTGATGGCACCAAGCCAGGAGGGCCAGAAAATCTGGGATGCTTGTACCTGAGTGTACCTGCACCTGAAAACGAGCCTGGACACTGATCCAGCCAACTCTGTGACATTCCCTGGCATCCTGGGAGTAGAATCCAACTACAGATCGGTAAATTTATTAGCAGGTATTCCACGAGCCAACGTGTGCAAAGACTTCCAGTTTAATGTGAATAATCTCTGAAACCTTTCTTGTGTCAGGAGTCACTGAATCCAGAGGTCATTAATGGCACCAGGAAAACACACCTGTTAAATAACAGCATCCCTGAAGAGTTCCATCCCTTCTAATGAGCTGTGAACTGGGGATAAATCAGCAAGTGACCTGCATGAGCAAACATCATTGATTAATAAGCTGCCACGAATTCATTTCGTATTTCCAGTCCATGTAACAGTGAAAAGCTGTTTGAGGACAACGCTGATTTAAAGCTACATTTGTACTTTAATGCGTTTTATAATTACAAAAAAGAAACAGCTGAAGAAATCTTTTATATTTATACCCTTCCAAGCGGTGTACAGAAGGCATGCATAATTTCCAACCATAAAATACTATTTAAAAATAAAAAAAAAAAAGATTTATAATTGCTTTTCCTGATTCGAGAATCAAATTGGGATTTTATTTTTTTTTTTCACGTTGTCCTTCACAATCCAAACACGCTGTGAGTGACTGACTGAGCAAAGAGTGGGAGAAGGAACAATATGGCACAGCAGAAGCCAAACACAACAGGTCTGTGTTATCCTTGGAAGGATGGGGACGTGGCCATGTAATTCTTCCAGCCAAGCATCTGAAATCTGCATTGCTGCTGCCACTGAGTACTGTGATAATTAGGCAGAAGAATTACACAAATTAGAAGGTCTTCTGAGTTCAGGGGGGCCCTGAACTCAGGAACAGGAGGCCTGTGGGGTTGTTTAATATTATCTGTAATAACTAGCCCAGGTTTCTTCCAGCCCATCAGCCACGGCCCAAGTGAAACGCAGAGGATACGACGCCTGAAACTTCCAGATGAGAAATTCCAGGCACAGCTTCCAAAAACATCATAAAAAGTAGACCAAACTGCTGCAGATGCCTCCTTGAAACCTACCTCCAAGAGGAACAGAGATGCACCCCGTGTTTTCAGCCTCTTCCTTGAAAATAAAAGAGAAGGTTTGCTGTCAGATGGTGTCACCGAACACCAGGCCACTTAACTCTTGTAAATACTTAGTTTTTCACCTCAAGAGCTCTATGTTTTAAGTGCCCGATCTCTCCCTCTCCCAGGGTTACTGACCCCACAGCATTTCTGTATTTCAACTTTTGAATTAAAACAGCCTTACTTTTGAATTAAAACATTTCTAACACAACACAGTACTGATATTCAAAGCTGCTCGGATAGATATTAGCCCCACTTCCCCTGTGAGCTGCATACCTAAACACTCCTAGAAAAAAAAAAAAAAACACCCGAGCCAAGGAAAACAGATGCCATTTCTGGACGCAAAACTAATTTATTCAAGAGCATATTTCGAACGAAAAAAAAAAAACCCGCCCTGTATCTATTTCCTTTCGAGCCTCTCCCGAGAGCTCCCGCAGCATTAACTAGGGCAGCGCTCCCCTCAGGTTTCCTGGGAGGCAAAGCCAATTTCCAGACAGCAGGACTTCCCTAATCGCCGCCGACAAGCCGTCGCAGCACACTTATATTTATATGTCCATACACATCCCTTAATTTCCTTCCTTATTACAGCCTTCGCAGGTTAATTTTAATCGAGGCTTTCGATAAAATTCAGCAGGAACCTCCCGCCCCCCTCCTCCCTCCCCACATTTTGGCGGGGCTGCGCCTGAGGGGAGCCCCCCCCCACACGCCCCTCATGGAGGGGCGAAGGCCCCAACGTTGCCAGAGCAACGCCCAGCTCGGAGCCTTCTTCCTCCTTCATCTTCTTCTTCTCCTCCTCCTCTTCTTCTTCCTCCTCCTCCTCCCCTCACGGCTCCTCCTCTTCCTCCCACCCCCTGGGCCCCGGCGATGGCGGCGGGCGGCGGGCGGGAGGCGCCGGGCGCCTCATGAGGTACCGGGAGGGAGGGCGGGAAGGGGGCGGCCCCGCGTCCCCCTCACAGCCCGGGGAGGGAGGGGAGGACGCGGTTTCAGGGTCTTGCCCTCCCCTCGCGGGGGTCCCGGCGGTACAAACCCTGCCCCGAGGCGCTGCCGGGGGGTCCCGGCTGGCGGTGCCGCCGCGGGTCGAGCCCTCCCGAGGGTTGGGTGGGAGAGGGTCCCCGAGCCACGAATCCGGCGAGGGTTCCAAGGGCCTTTATCAGGCGCTTTATTTTGGCAAATCTGCGGCGGGGGGACAAAGTCTGGGGGTGTGCGGGGTGGTTCTCTGCAATCCCATTTAATAACTCCGGTGATTTGTTGGAAGTTTGCTCGGCGCGGCGCCAGCGGCGGCTGCGACACTCCGGCAGTGGGATCGGATCGCTCGCTTTTTAAAACACCCAGCTGTCAGGGTTTTTTTGCCCCAAACCACCATCTGGAGAGTGTAAACAGGAACTTTTTGCCGTGTAAAACCAAGTTTGATGTATCCTCTTTGTATCCCCGGTGAAACTGGCTGTGGGAAAAAAAAAAAAATTTCAAAGAGGAATCTGTAAGATTTTGAACAACAGGAGGAGGATTATAACAAAATTCCCAGTGTTTCAGTAACACTGCTCCATAGTGACAAGTACTGTGCCAAATCCACCTTCGAGGCATTCTCCAAAATTGTTACTCTGATGTCACACCAGTCCAGAGAAGCTGATTTAACACGATTTGATCAGAGTAAAGGCTGATACAAAGTGAGAAACTGCCCAACAAGGCGATCAAAAGATGCCAGTGGAAAGACAAACGGGACCTCCTTTGGCTGCTCTCTCTGTTGGACCGTTTGTTGGCCGCATTTCGTTTTTCACTTAGAGCCTGTCTCTTTTAAATGCTTTTTACAATATGGCCTAACCTGGTTCTGCTCCCTTCCCCAGACAGGATAATCACATTAATCTGATAATGGCCCTCAGTTTGGAGCATGGCTTCTCACCAGGCAGTGTCTGAACCAGCGCTCACCTTTAATGGGTGCACGTAAATGTGCTCCTTCCCTCCCTCCCATCTCCCTTTGCTCCTTCCCTGCCCTCCTGCTGTTGCTATTTTTGTGCTGGTCTCCTGTCCAGCAGCTTTTGCTGCCCTGGTTTGCACCGAAGCGACCTCAGCTGTTCCTAAGGAATGCTAAGGGAAACCTGCCCGGGGATGGAAGGAAACAATTTCGGTGGCACACAGAAAGCTGTCCCGTGGAGGTGGGGTGGGAACCCTTCTAAACAAACACACACAGGATCTCGGGGAATCTTGTCTAGATTCTTTTTCTTCCCTGTTTATCTCTTTCCTTCAACTGTGCCTTTTTTTACCCCCCCGCTGCAGGAGGCACCACCCAGCAGGAATCCGGAGCGGGAAGGCTCCCAGCATGCAGCCCGGCTGCACCCACCTGCACAGCATCCCGGGGAGCGGCGATCCCTGCCCGCCATCCGCAGACAGCTCCTGCCATCCCGGCACAGGAGCCGTGCACATCCAGCTGGGAGAAGCCAGGGACAGCCCCAGCTCCAGGAGGGGCTCCCAGAGCCGCTCCCACGGCCACGGGGAAGCGGCAGGAGGGCTGGAGGACACCGGCCTGGACTCAGAGGAGCAGGGAGGGAGCTCCCTGTCGGAGCTGAGGCACCTCCTGCAGTGGCTGCACAAGAGCCTGCCCTACCTGCTGATCCTCTGTGCCAAACTGCTCGTGCAGCACCTCAGTGGTAGAGTATGACCCAGCCAGGGCCTCCCCTCCAAAGAGACAGACTGAGGGACGAAGGATAATTCCATTTATTTTTAGCTTGGTTTTTTATTTGCTTTATTCATCAGAAAGAGAGATTTGCTAAACTGCATTTCAGTGGCTTCTGTTTCCTTTGCTGGCATATGTACAATGTGCTTAATTATCCTGCTTGGAGAGTCTGAGCTATTAATTGTAATTACAAAGACATATTAGAAGTGGCTGCTTTTTAAACCAGTTCAGTGATGATTTTTTTTTCTCCCCTTTTCATGTGTATAACTGATCCTATTTTCCTAATAGGCATTTCTCTTGGAATTGGGCTGCTAACAACTTATGCCTATGCAAACAAAAGCATAGTAAATCAGGTTTTTCTAAGAGTAAGTATCATCCTATGACACAAAATACTCTAAGTTAACCAAGACTTTTATTCATCAAATTTCGAAAGAAATGTGAATGGAAATACGGCCTTATTTACCTAATAATGTTAGGTATAACAAGGTTTCAAGATGGAAGTAGTCTTAATGCTTCTCTACAGTGTAGAACTTCTCAGATAATAAGCATAAAAAGAGGGTTTTTTTTTCCCCCCCTCTGTCTTTGACTGGAAAACACTTCAAGTGATAAAAGCTTTCTGTAATTTATGGAAGAACTTGTGGATTAAACAGCAGTTGACAGCTTAAATTTTCATCTCTCTGTTCACTCCCAAAGGCAAACCTGTTGTTCCTTCAGAGTGGGGTGGGTTTAGTTGCATTTCTAGAAAAAACCTTGACACACACACACACAGAGAAATTGGTATTCTGAAAACATTAAAATGACTGCTTTACCTTTCCCCTGAGCTCTCCTGTTTCATGTGGCCTCAAACGACTCCCCCTCCCCTGCAGGAACGGTGCTCCAAGCTGCAGTGTGCCTGGCTACTGCTCTACCTGACTGCATCATCCCTGCTCCTCTACTACACCTTCCACTCTCAGGCCCTGTATTACAGGTAAGCACAGGAACACCTCTGCTCCCACCACAAATCACTCAAAACCAACTGGGCATGTTTTACTGGCTATTCCCAGACCCCCCAGTGGGTTTGATGTGCCATGGGAATGTCCTGGTTTGATTCCCAGTGGGTTTGATGTGCCATGGGAACGTCCTGGTTTGATTCCCAGTTTGGGGCTCTGTGCAGTTTAGGACTCCAAGGGGTTTTCCCCCTCATCCCCTCTGGGCTGTGAATCAAAGGGTAAATCCCAAGCCAAAAAAAGCAAAGCCAGGCATGAGGGTTGTGATGAAAGGCGGGAAGGCTGTCAGAGATTCCCAAGGATCAATTCCCAGTGAACAGTCCATTTTCCTTGTGGAAACCAGGTTTCCTTCTCTCAGCCTGCCAGGATAGTCTCTGGTTACAGTTGCATCTACGGAGGGTGCCCCGGTAACTTCTGATGCTTCTTTTTGTAGCTTGATCTTCTTAAACCCTGCGGTGGATTTCATGAACTTCTGGGAGGTCCTTTGGATTGTGGGAGTCACAGATTTTATTCTGAAATTCCTCTTCATGGGCTTCAAGTGCTTTATTCTCTTGGTGCCTTCTTTTATCATGTCCTTTAAATCCAAGGTAAGGAAAGAAGCTGTGTTTTTGCTTCCTTGTGAAGATTCTTTTCTGGTAAAAATGAGCCTAATTATTAAATTCTAGCTGGAGAAAAGTCTTTAATTAAAGATCTGTGTATAATCCACCCTGGGCAAGGAAACCCTGGGGATTTCCTGCCCTTCCCTGCTTGGTGCTGAGGAAGGTTTTCAGTGAGATGGGAAACAATTCCTCCTATCATATGGATAGATGGTTTATTCCTGTCTCTGAGGTTGGTGTATTTATTTTTATCTGCTTCCCGAGGTGAGGCAACAAAACCAATTACATTTTATCTTGAAATTGCAATTACCAAGTGCTGGTTCCAAAAAACAAATGAACAAGTGCATTTTCATGCGGTAGCATCTGAACAGGATGTGTTTTGGGAGGTTTTATCTCTTCAAATGTGCCAGAACAAGTTCTTCTCAGGTGCAACTGGCTTCTCTAAACACTGATTTATAATCAAGATCTTTGGGTTTTTCTGCAGCTGGTGATGTAACATCTAAAAACCAGTTATTGAAAATTCCATGACACCAACTGTGACCTAAATTGCGCCTAAATTAAAGAAGGAATCTGATCAATAGTGGCAGATTGTGGCACTATCCAGTGCCCACTCTAGAAGGGGTGCTCCTTCTCTGCTATAAATCGAGTTTTAAAGAGAAACTGGAGGAAATGAAGTAAGAGCTGAGCTAAATATCTGATTATCCACACACACACACACACACAGGGCTCTGTGCAGGACACTGGTGTTTTGTTCCTCAGGCATTTTTAGGGTGTTCCTGAACTCTGGTTACCTGTTACCCCCTCCTGCTTTCCTGGCCCCCAATCCTCTAATCACCCCATCCCTGAAGGAGTTCATTATCACAATGAAATCATGTTTACAGGGAAACAGGTTGTAATTAATGTTTGTTAAGAAAAGAATGGGCCTTTCTCTCCTTTTTTATCCCCCAGTGCAGGGCACAGCTCTGGCTCTTGACAAGCTGATCTATGTGACCAAATCTGCCTTATTTTCCTTTCTCATATAACTTTTATTTCCTCTTTTTTTACACTTATGTGCCTGACAGCATCAAGCAGGCAGACATCACCTTTTAGCCCATTAATTTGATTTTTGCAGCCCAGCCATCCATTCTGTTCCTGTCACCTGCCCAGCTGTTATTTCATATCGAAATACCGAGTTTCATAGTGAGTTATTTCAAGATATTACAAGAGGGAGCTGCTGAAAAAGAGTAACAGTTCATCTTTTCCTCTGTTTCCCAACCTCTTTGTGTTTGGAATCCTCCTCTGCCTGTCCTGCTCAGGGTTACTGGTACCTGCTGCTGGAGGAGCTGTGCCAGAATTACCGCACCTTCGTGCCCATCCCGCTGTGGTTCCGCTTCCTCATTGCCCATGGGGAGCTGGGCACTGTCCTGGGATGGTCCCTCGGGATCCTGCTGGGCCTCCTCTACCTCACCCTGAAGGTAGGTGAGCTGTGCACTCCCCTCAGCCACCCTGAGACACGACCCAACGCTCCTGCAGGTTCCCCTCTGCACTCAGGGCAGGGCAGGGCTGCAGCTCAGCTGGAAAACTGATCCCAAAACGTGGCTCAGCACCCGAAATCAGCATTTCCTGCACCTGTTCTGGGAAGGGCTGGGATTGCAGAGCAGAGAACACTTACTGAGTGTCCCCTCACAGCAGCCACTGGTCAGACTGTTGTCACATACTGAGGAAAAGAGCAGAAATCCAGTGACTGAAAGAATGGGCATTTTGCAGGATCTGCATTTCCTCTCTGCTGGAGTGTCCTGTGGGATTCTGAACAGTCCCTGCTGGCTCTCTGTGCACCAGGGAGCTCCTGTGCCCCACATGCACCCAAAAATCAGCACAGCTTTGGCTTTGACCACACCCACTACCCCCTGATGCTCTGGGACCTTCACTGCAACCCTAAAACTATGGCAGGGATGATGAGAATGGTGAGATGTTTGCACTCAAACACTTCAGAACCTCAACACTGTTTCACTTCTAAAGAACAAACCTCAGTTTGGTTACACATCAAACAACCCAAAGAGGGTCAGTCTGAACTCTGGCTCTGCTTATCCCACCAGCAGTGAGAATCTGCCAAAAGCTTGGAAGACTTTTAAAGTTCACAGAGGAAAAGATACCAAGCATAACTCGAGTTTTCTCTCCCATTTCAGCTTCTGAGCTTTTTTGGACAACTGAGAAACTTCAGGCAGGTTTTAAGGATGTTTTTCACACGCCCAGTGAGTACTGAATTCAAAAGTTCAAAACCATAAACCCAATTTACATGGAAATACTTTCTAAATGCCTCATTCCTGTGTTCCTTTGAGCTGTTCTAACAACAAACTGCATTTCTGCATCAAACCCTGTATACCCTTCTCCCATTTCAGTCCGAATTCCTTAACTATGTGATTTTATTGCCATCTGAACAACAACCACCACTCCCTCCAAAATCTTTTCTGCACAACCCTCCAGATGAAAGCACGTGCAGCAACACCCCCTTTTTGTCCTGCTCCACTTCAAAAACAACCCAAATGTTTCCCTGCAGTAGGGATTTAATCCTTCTCCTGCCGCAGCAGCCCTTCCTCCCAGCTCCCTTCTGTCCTGGTGGGTTTGGTCTTGGCTTTTCCATCCCCCCCAGGACCCCAAGATGTGCTGAGGGCCCTTTGTTTTGCAGCACTATGGGGTGCCAGCCAGCAAGAGGCAGTGCTCAGAGTCAGATGAGATCTGTTCCATCTGCCAGGCCCAATTTCAGAAGCCCATTCTGCTCATCTGCCAGGTAACAATCCCAACTATGACTTCTTTCTGCCAGTTAAACCCCAGAAAATGAGGTGGGTGAGTAGATGTTTTATGAGGAGCTTCAGAAATCAGGCTGGGCAGTTCACAGAGAGTGTTACAGGTGGAAGGGCTCAGAAGCTCCAAGTTCTGCTTCTCTTGCAGCACACATTTTGTGAAGAATGCATCAGCCTGTGGTTTAACAGAGAGAAAACCTGTCCCCTCTGCAGAACTGTCATTTCAGAGCACGTGAACAGGTGGAAGGACGGAGCCACGTCGATGCATCTCCAGATTTTCTGAAGCTTCTCAGCCAACCTGCTGTGTCCCCTCTGGGTCCCCGAGTCTCCAGCAGGCCCAGCTGGAGGAGGTTCCACACCCAGGCTCCTGTCAAACCTCCCAGCTTTTAGAACGCGGCACAAAATCCTGACTTGGCCTCTTTTAAGCAGAGAAAACTGAAGTGTTCAGAATGAATGCAGAAAAAAAACCAGCCTTGCTCCTCCTGTGACTGTCCCAGGAATCAGAAACCCTGAAAGGTGCTGCTTTAATTAAGGCTTTAATTCCACATTCTGAGTTCCAGACTGGGCTAAACTCTATTTAATCTCATAACATAACTCAACCCAAAAGGTCACCCTCCCACTTTAATGTGAGCAAATGTTTTACTCTGGACTACAGTGACAATTAGAGCTCCTTGTCACACTTGCCATGAAAGATCCCTCAATGCCCACTCCATTAAATTGCTTTTTGCTCCTGCACCTGGACCAGCAGCTGTTTCTCACTGTACCTGGAGAAGCACAAGATGTTTCCCTTTAGGTTCTTGGAGGCTTCTGATGGATCTTGGGCTTAATCTTCTGCCTTTAAACCAACCACTGGTGTTAGTTTTTTACTTGGCATTTTATAAAGCTGAAATTTTTAAAGCAGATCTTTAATATTATATTTTTTGTCGTAACAGGACCCAGATTTTCTTACAGGGGAGAATCTATTTTATACTGTATTTGCAATTTGTAGTACGCATAAAAATCAGAGAATAAATGCATTTAAATCTACTTGTTTGGTGCATGTTGAATAAAGAAAGATTTGTTACTCTTTGAGTACTTAAAGCTTACTGCCAGGCCTAGTTTTGTTGTTAAATTAATGTCTCTGGAAAACAAAAATGCCTCAAAAGCAACAATTTATTCGTGATTAAGTTTTACGTCAATTATAGCACTAATTAGAAACAATCTCACTTTGTTTTCCTGCTTGTCTTTTCTCCCTGAAAGGCTGAAAAAGCCACTCAAAATTATTCTGCTACAGGAAAGTCACCTTTAGTTACCATTAACTGAACACCTTTAGAAACTTCTAAATTAAGTAAAAAGAGAATTAAGAAGTGAAACTCTTCCTTGGGCACGATGTCAGAGCAAAAAAAATGCACTTCTTAATTCCTCACTATTGATCAGATGAATAAGCACCGAGGACTGCAGGCAAGGCCAGATTTACAGCTTAAAGATATGAACCCAATTAAAGTATTGACTTGTGGTTAATAATTAAAAAAACCCACCACCACAAGAACTCAGCAGAACAATTTGGGGTTAATTCTCTCTTTCTGTGGGTGTTTTGGGTTTTTTTTCCCTTAAAGATCCAGTGAAAATGATCCAAACCCAGTAACATCAACAGGTTTTATTAAAACCAAAGAACTACGAAGAGGTTTTGATCGACCAGTGTAGATTTACAGTTCAGAAATGAAAGTTCATCCTCATCTTGGACACAGAGGGGGGAAAAGGGAGGAACTCACCTCCAGCAGTGCCATCCTCTGATCCATGTGGAGTCAGGATGCAGCTCGTCCTGAGCCAGGCCAGCATCACCTGCAGGGGCAGAACAGAGAGCAGGTGACAAGTGACAACCAACAGCGGCTTTTTCTGAGCCCCAGAGCCCTTGGGGACAGGCTGGGAAATGAGCAGCTCTCAGGGAATTCCTCCTCCCTCCCTTTCCCCTCCAAGACAATGATTTCCATCCTGAGTTACACTCAGGGCCCACCTACTTCCTAAAAAAGAAATGACACCTGTTTAAAGTTGCTTTTAGTTGCTCTTCACATCCATCTTAATCAGCACCTGAGGACATTTAGTCCCAGTGAGGTGGGAAAGGGGAAAGCCAGGCCAGGGATTGCCTTGGCTGCACTGGGGCAGCTCAGGTGAGTTCCTGCAGCAGCTGCAGATGGAGTTAATCTGGAGTTAATCTGCAAGGGAACAACCTGCAGGGGTTCAGATTTGGGAGCTGCACTCAGGGCATCACCAAGGACCTGCAGGAAAAACACTCCATTTACCTTGTTCTTAATGACTTCTCCTCCTCCTCCTTTCCCCCTTTAGGATAAAGGATTTCCCTCCAAAGTGGGAAAAATGAACCCAAATATCCTGCAGGGCCGGAGTTCGCCCACCCAGTCAAACCCCACCCACGTCCCAAAAACAAGAGCCCTCCCTCAGTGTCTGAGGCACTTTCTGATTAACACTGAGAGCGGGTTGGGAGTTGACACTGAAGACAGAACAGACCCCAAATGAAGCTGCAACTGCAGGGGGGGGACTCAGAGATTTAATTCTCCAGCAGTTCAGCTCTCCGAGAGCGACTCCCAGGAAAAGGGACATTCCACAAAACCACCGACTCGTTGATTTGGAGCTTTTATTATGAGCTAATACCAGGATGACATTCAAATGTCAGATGGCACAATTAAGACAGTCTTGGTAGGAATTATTCCAGCATTCCCAAAATGACAATTTAGTTACACGAATGGCATCAAAACGCATCACTCATCCCACGAGAAAAACCGATGGAATTCCCGATATCTGAGACCAGAAGAGTTTTTTCTGCATCGAATGGGAAAAAAAGAAAAACTGCTGGTAACACAGCTGACCTGGAAACCTTTTCTGAGAATGACCTGCAGAACAAAATATTTCCCTATTTTAACATCTAGTAAAAAAAAATATGACTTTTTGTTCAAGTTTAAGATTTAATACTTTTTATATGGTTAGCCACAACAGGTATTAACCTCAGTTTTTTACTATATTTTTGTAATGCTACAAAAATCCTATAAAATCAAATTATAGTGAATTTCTCAGTGATTATAATTAAAAAAGCGCAGCTTGTACAAAATAAAAAAAATAAGATTCTATACTCTAATGAAAAATTTAAGACATTTTTAAATGAACAAAAGAAAGCACTTGTTTAAGCTCTCCAATATTCAAATGCATTCTGCACTTCTCTGAAATAGCCAGACAGGAGCTACAACTCCACTCCCCTCGGTTCACAACTAGTAATTTTGACACTATTATATATATATATATAGAGGATCTATGTCTGATATTTTTACAAATAAATACAGGATAAACCATATTGCATAGTGTGTGCTTGCTGTCTGAGTCCCACTCCCAGAGTTTCACAGTCCTGGTAGGGAATTCCACTTCACAACCTGCGGGCTGGAGCATTGACAGCACCGGCAATTTCCTGGGGAAACCGGTCAGGTGGGGCTGTAATTCCATCAGTGAACTCAGACAAGCAACTCTTGCCATTCTCGCCAGCCATCATTTACCGATTCCACTGGCCGAGCTACCCAGAACACTGGAAAGCAACCGGTGGCTCCAACTGGGACCAGGAGAATCATCTGCCTCCAGAAACAGATCTGCCTCCAGAAACAACAAATCTGCCTCCAGAAACAAGACATCTGCCTTCAGAAACGAGACATCTGCCTCCAGAAATTACAGATCTGCCTCCAGAAACAAGATCTGCCTCCAGAAATTACAGCTTTGCCTCCAGAAATGACATATTTGCCTTCAGAAACGACAGATCTGCCTCCAGAAATGGCTGTTCTTTAAGCAAGTCCCTTTATCCTCAGTCAGGGCACCTCAGGAAGGAGCAGCCCAGAAGCTCCACGTGCTGGAGGTTGAGGCCTTTGCAGGTGTTGCCCCTGCCAAGAGCAGTCCAGAACACAGGCAGGTTTGCTGATGGGCAGAGTGCAATCAGCAGCACTCGGGTTTTGGGTTCACAACACCCCCCCCGTCCCCCCAGCAGTGGCAATCCTCCAGCAGGGCCTGTGGCGCTCCCTCACTGCAAGGGAACTTCATCTGCCTCCCAAAATTAAACTTTCTAACAAAAGGAAGAGAAAGGAAGGTTAATTTTTGCTCTTTTTTTTTGTTGGTGGTACCACGCTCGTCACCGAATCCTTCGGACCTGCAAAGCTGAGCAAAGAGCACTGAGCGGATTCAACGCTTGAGAGAGTTTTATGGCTTGGATCCTATGGCTCAAAAAAGGTTCAGTATCCACAGAGGAAGCAGAAAATCGAGGATTTAAAAAAAAAAAAAAAAAACAAAACCCTACTCGTTGTGAAACAGCAGAAGTAGAACTTTGCACAGTTTGACTAAAGGATAATGCAAGGTGTGGCAGGCAAAAAGTGACAGGGCTGGGATGCAGCTGGATCATCTCCACACACACACAGCACAGCAGACACACCCTACACTCGAGTAAAGCTCTGCAGATTTTAACCCTTTCACCAGCTATGCTCATGGAAATGCTTTCTTTTAAGGCAGGAAGTATCTATATATTTAAGGAAGGTAAAGGTTTTACCTTTATTTTATTCTTTGTACCTGTGAAGTGGTTTGTACAGATTGCGTGTGACAGTTTTTTAAAACCATAAATAGTGTCCTTTTAGAGCAAGAGTTTCCTAAATGAAGGTTGCTAAAAGTTCTGACACGCTGTGGAAGACATTCACTGAAAGGCCATTAACACTTTCCTCGTACAATCAGCAAATTTATTGCCCCAGCATAGAAAAAAAAAATGTGGAGGAATTTAGAAATGGAGAGTGGCAGGGAAGTCCCATCAGCAAAATTTTATTAATAATTATATTATTTAAAAAAAAAAATTCCTCCAATTCTTACCCACCGGTTACAAAAATAGTTATTTCCTTCCACTGGGCAGGGTTTGTTCCCTGGGGGGGGATCTCCACTGACCTGGTGATGGGAGGCACTGCCTGCTGATGGCACTGGCTGTGCTGAGCTGCCCCCGGCCCAGGAGCAGCAGCAGGGCCACAAAAAGGGCTGTTCCCAGGGAAGTGTCTGCTGAGGACAGGCAGGAAATAAAGCAGGACGTGCTGTGAGCCCGGGGCTTCCAGTTCAGCCTGGAACAAGGGAGCAGCATCGCCTCGGATGGATCCACCGGTCTCTGCGGGAACAGGGAGTTCAGCTGGGCAAGCACAACAGTCCTCTCCCACCCCACACTGCCAGGCTGGCCAGGGATTCACTGACTGATGTGTTGTTTCGTGAGGAGAAGAATCAGAACCAGAGCCTTGACAAATAAAAACAAACCACGCTTTCTTCACCAATTATTCTCCGTCTGCAATTTTGGGATCCTTTCCATAATGAGCTGAATCAAAAAAATCTATTTGAAAAATATATATATTTTTCTTTTTTTTTTCTTTTTTTTTT